CTAACCTGTGTGATGGGTCAGCCTTATTTCAGTTAGTGAGGCCTGTAATCCAAGACTAGTGTGTGTAACAACGCAGTACAGGCCCAAAATGTTCATTAGTATATTGTTTTTTTAATAAAAATGTTGCCTAGCAAATGTGTCCAAATAAAGCAATAAATCCAGACTCAGTTTGTTTGTTTGTCGATTTTTTTTTTTTAATCTTAAGAAAATAACCACTTCCTTAAAAATAAGACTCAGATACTCCTAAAAGTTGAAAAAAAAAAGTTACAGCATCATTCTCAATTGAATTTAATTACTGGCCACTTTATTAGGTACACCTGTTCAACTGCTCATTAACGCAAATATCTAATCAGCCAATCACATGGCAGCAACTCAATGCATTAGGCATGGTGAAGACGACCTGGTGAAGTTCAAACAGAACATCAGAACGGGGAAGAAAGGTGATTTAAGGGACTTTGAACGTAGCATGGTTGTTGGTGCCAGACGGGCTGGTCTCAGTATTTCAGAAGCTGCTGATCGACTGGGATTTTAACACACAACCATAGTGTTTACAGAACATGGTCCCAAAAAGAGAAAATATCCAGTGAGCGGCCGTTCTCTGGGGGAAAGGCCTTCTTGATGTCAGAGGAGAATGGCCAGACTGGTTAAAGACAATAGAAAGGCAACAGTTACTCAAACAACCACTCGTTGAAACATAGGTATGCAGAAGACCCTCTCTGAACCACAACACGTGGAACCTTGAAGCAGAGGGGCTACAGCAGCAGAAGACCAGGTGCCAATTTTGGGTCGTCAAAATTGGACAATAAAAAATTGGAAAGATGTTGCCTGGTCTGATGAGTCTTGATTTCTGCTGCTACATTCGGACGGTAGGGTCAGAATTTCACGTGAACAACATGAGAGCATGGATCCATTCTGCCTTGTATCAACGGTTCAGGCTGGTGGTGTAATGGTGAAGGGGATATTTTCTTAGCATACTTAGACCCCTTAGTACCGATTAAGCATTGTTTAAACGCCATAGTAAGTAAAAATATAGTGTCCTTCCTGGTTCATTTGAAGTAGACACACACAGGAGACATTAAAAAGCTTTAATATTAACAATACATTTGTGTTCAACACCAGTAACCACAGCACTGATTCAAAGCTGGGTGGAAGTGCTTTTATTTTGAAATCCAACTTTTCAGAGGAATGACCCAGTAAGAAAATGCTGCATTCATACATCACGTGAAAATCCAGTTTGACACGCTGATGAAAATAACTCTGAAGTTAATGAATTATTTCAGCTTGTCACATAAATGTCAGAGTTAATCAGATAAAAGTCTGTCTGCACAACAAAGTCATTTTTATAGCTGCAACCAGCACCTTTAGTACATCTGTCACACTCTCCTTGTCTCCCTCGCAACCCATCAGTTTGCTTTGGGGAGCCTGTAGACGCCAGCAGACACCAGCAGCTGATGCTCCCTCACCTTCCTCTGCAGGAAGCCTTCCAGCTCATTAATGTCCATCTCCGTGACGACGGGTCCCGTGGCGACGAACATCCGGAGCATGGAGTGGATGCGGTCCAGCGTCATGCTGTCCAGGTTAGTCAGCATGGCCTGGATGTAGGCCCAGAACAACTGCAGAGAGGGGGGGGTTCAGAAGCTATGCTGGGCCTTTTCGTCTGGTTGATTCTTATTTTAAACTACATGGGAGCTTTACATAAACATGACTTGTGAAACTCTATAAGCCATTCAAACTTAATATATTATTTATCCTACTTATTCCTGCATTTAACTGGCACCATTATGTCACTTGCACTATTTTCTATCTGTATTTTGTAATGTCTTGACCATCATCAGCATCATTATACTTTATTTATCCCATAGAGAAGTGGTGTGAAAATGTGCACCTTATAATATATATCAACAATAAATACTTTAAAAGGTTTTGGGGCTATTTTTGTCAAGCATTTTGTATCTCTATTAACATGAATCATGCATTTAATTAGGACATCATTGTATGTATCATTTATACATGAGGGTAATTCACCTTTATATTTAAATTATTAAATCACAATGATACCTGGATGCTTACTATTCTTGCCATTCAGCTCTGTGAACGTGGTGACCAAATATAAAAAATGACATTCAATATAGCTAAAAGATCAGAAATGAACACATTGACGTTGAATCAACGTGGTGGTGTTTGCAGTGGTGAAGTGGTTCAAGACGAGCCAAAGAAAATGAATTGCTAACTATAATAATAATTACTTTGAGAAACTGGATTGGAAATGTTGACAGTCTGTCAGCTTATTCAATAGCATTTCACTGATTTATCAAGAAAAAAATCTGCTAATTATTAGGTATTTAAATAAGTGTGGTTATAGAGACTTCCAGATCAAGAGGCACAGCATGGTAACCAAGCTCTTCACGCCATCAAGCGAAGAAATTATGCAATTTTCCAGATAACCGTTTCTTACAATAAAATGTGCCGGTTAATCTAAAGAAAGTCCACCCAGAAACCCGACTGAGATCAGATGCAGCTCTCTCTGATATGTAGAAGATGTGTGCTGAATGAGAGCAGGATATGAATCTGAGTGATGCTCACCTGCAGCTTCTCCTCCCTCTGCTCCGACTGGGTGGTGGTGTTGGAGTCTCTCTCCTCGTCGCTGTCGATCAGCATCACCCCCCTGTCCATCTTCTCTTTGGACGAGCCCGTCTCCACCACGTAGTAGCGCCCCCCCGCCTCCTCCCTCAGCACGCCGTGCTGCTGCCACAGAGCCAGCTTCCTGTGCAGCAGGTCCTTCGGGGCCCCCAGCTTCACGCTCAGCTCCTCCAGCGTCCATGAACCTGACGAGGACAAAAAGGAAAAAAAACATTTGGCATTTGGGGGGGGGGGTACTTTAAAAAGCTTATACGGATTTAAATGTAGACTCAATGTTTTTTCTGTTAAAGCTCACCTATTATGCAAAAATCCACTTTTATACATAGATATGAGATTCGGAAAGGCTCAGGAAAAAAATATTCGCTTACTTTTTGTCCTGATCCATTTATTTAAAATCCTGTCTGAAAATGAGCTGATCAGATTTTGGCCACTTTGATGTCACAATGTGTTTTTGGATTGTGTAACCATTAGCCAATAACCAACCAAGGTAACCTCCCCCCCCACTTTATCACCTGAATCTCCTCCGAGAACACCATTAGCCGTGTTCACACCGCAGTACTTTTCCCACTTTAGTTCCGATATAGTTCAGAAATGTCGCATTCACACCAAAAAGAGCCGGAACTAAAATTAGTTCATCAGAACCTTTTCACCCCCTTTTCCGTCCCTGCTAAAGGGTTCCTATTTCTGATTGGCTGGGCGGATTGCAAACCACGCCCCGTAAAACTCCCAAAAAGTGTTGTGAAACCGCCATTTTATTATCCTCGCATTAGCATTATTAGCATTAGCCCAGCGCAGAAACGCAGAGAGACTAAGTTATGGCAACACAAAAGAAAACATGGGAACGGTGGAGATGAGGAGGTGTCGGCGTTCTGGCAATTTACTCGGAAGGCTTCAGTAGAAGCTGCTGGGAGTCCCAGCAGCTTCTACTGAAGCCAGTCCCCAACTCCGGGGACTTCCGGCCGGGGACTTCCGGCCGGGGACTTCGGGTGTCAGTATACGCCGTGAAGTTGTTTGCGGCCTGCCAGTAAACCCAAAGCAGAAGAAGAAGAAGTGACGTCAGTGGCTTCATTTTCGTATCTTCCCTCAGGGAACTTATTCCGGTGTGAACGCGATCTGTACTTAGTTCATGAGAGCTAAAGAGTTCTCATGAACCTTTGTGGGAAAAGTACTGCGGTGTGAATGCGCCTATTGTGTTCTTCTTAACCAAATATCTCTCAGAGGGGCGTGTGGGGGGGGGCTCCTTATTTTCATCTAAAGTAACAGACAGAGAATCAGCACTTTTGGAACAGGGCTGAAACAGAGGGGATTATGGGATGCTGCAATGATCTGTTTGGTGTTTCGAGACATTTTTTGTATATATCTGAGACCTATAATAAAGTAATGAAAAACAGTATAATAGGGGACCTTTAATTATTTGTGCGTAAATATCTTAATTATTTAGGATTTTATTGTTTAAAAAAAATTCTAATAAATTAATAAAAACAAGATGACAGCATGAGGCTTTGTAGAACATCTTCTGGCCAGGTTATTCATTTTCAAATGTCTTGTGCATAAGAAAAAAGAATCCAGCAAATGCAGGGCAGAAACCAGGAAATGACAGATCATACTTTTGTCCTGGAAGTGCAGGATGATGGCAGCGTGGATGGGGGACACGGTGAGGTTGGTGAGGGTGCGGTCCTCCAGCTCCAGGTCCAGAGTGACGGAGCCCAGGTGAGGCTTCCAGCTCAGCGTCCTCATGGCCTGAAACAGGAGACAAACATATGTTTATTTATACTGTTTGTTTACCAAATGTGTGGATCAATACAGTTGTTCTAATCTAATGTGACGGTTTGTGAGCTCCACCTTGAGCTTTTCGTAGCGGTGGGTGTAGGCCTCCATAGCCTGGCAGACGACATGGGGCAGCTCCAGCTTCTCCTCCTTCAGCGGAGGCCAGAACTCGGAGGACAGGATGATGGAGGACAGGGAGAGGGGGGGCTGCTCCTCCTCGCTCAGACGGGATTCCTCCTCCCGGATGTTACTGTTGATCCTCCGGGAGTCCGCCATGTCCTGAGACAGGAGGAAGGAAGGTGTGTGGGCCAAGCAAAACAGTTGTCATTTTAAGTAGTTGCTTAATTGAGCAACTAATTACTTTATTTGGTTGATTATTTCTGTTAATTGAATTTATTATTTTCTGCTATTGTCTTAGTAAGTTGTTTAAGTTACCTTTTTTTGTTAATTAATGACATTTCTTTTTAATAAGTCCAAAAATAGAGTAAAATAGTTCTCTAGTGTTTTAGTTCAGGGTTTCCCACACATAGACTATACTTGGGCGGGCCGCCCAGGTATATTAACGGCCGCCCAAGTATATTTCGCGACCCATTTAGTTTTTTTTTTTAATAATTTGTTTTTTTATTTGTCCATGACCACCATCTGCGATCGATTAACTTGTGTACAATGATCCCTCGCTCCCTTGCTCTGATCTCGCCTCCTTCTGGCCTGTTAAGTGGCCTGCCTCACACAGGGGGCCTTTCTCACTTCGGTTAAATGGATTCCTTGCGTCCCTCACTTGCGTCGTTTCCCTGTGACTAGTCCCTCCCACCAGGGAAGCATGGAGGGACGCAAGGAAACCACGAGAAGCAGGGAAATTAGTTTTAAGAGCAATGGGACGTCCTTTCCTCCGGAGCGTCACGTGAAGCGACGTCCGTTTGTGATGACGCTGCACAGCTGATCGTCTGACAGCAGCCAGCTCTGTCCCCGTTATTTCCACACACACCCCCGCCTCTGTTAGTAAACATTTACTGACACAAACATTTGTATCATCAACGCCATTCTTAAAATGTATAAACGAACAATAGTTTGATTAATATTGATTAGAGTGCACAAAATAAATAAAATAATTGAGAGAAGAAAAAGAGATATGTTATATATCAAAACCCAGTTAGATTAACATTCATTGGATTGTACACTTTGTTTGTTTGTTTGGATATGTAGCAAATTAACATTTTAAATAGCACTTAATGACTGACTGAATGGAAATGATAATAAATGAAAATGTAAAACGAAAAAAGCGATCATGAAAATCTTTCCAAAAAATTAATAAAAGGATTTTTGACCACTTTGTTGTTCAGATATATCACATATTTGTAACTAAATGATACATTAATTGACACAAAAGACGGTATAAACTGAGGAGTGACTCCCGTGAGGTTCATGTATTTTCTTCACTCCGCTGGGAAACTGCTCTCATGTCAAGAAGCATTACATCAGTGCATGCACTGCATCGTCCAATCAGTGAGCGATACACAGTAAGGGGGGCGG